CCCCCCCCCCCCCGGCAATGTCTAAGGGCAGCAAATCATCTTCCAGCTAGACATCTCTCTGCCAGTCCGAGAGGCAGCAGCAGGGTGGTGCTGGTGGTGTCCCAGCACATTGCTTTCTGCATCATTTCTGTTTCATGCATTCCATATATGTGCTGGTTGCAGGTCTGCGTGCCTCTGTCATCAAATATGTCCCAGGGAGCTGATGATAATTCCAAGATTTTCTGGTCAGCTTCGTGGTTTACTAGGAATCTGGTTCTAGGCTTTGTGCTTCCAGAATAAAGTACAGTACACTATTTCAGTCATAGTGGAGAACATTCCAATGTTAGGGTTGCTGGCTCTTGCCCTGCAGATGGTGTCCAGGATAACTGAGCACTGATCAGTACAGTATCCCCATCTAGTGTAGCTTCAATGTCTTTCCCTGCTGGCCAGGAGTGCTGTCGAACTGCCTCAGTGTTGCTATTAGGTATGGGTTTGCAGGGCGACATGCCATGCAGAAGCCCGTTTCGACCTCAAGAAATGTACAATCCAAATTTCACTATAGGCTAGAACAAATAAGAGGCATGGATAGGAAGAGCTGGCTGAATCTGAGGGACACTTCAGCTTTGTTTTAGTTACACATGTGTCTTTGATTTACCAGAGACAGCTGTCATCTGGGGAACAAGTGCCAGCCGTCCTATCTTTGACTGTGAAATACACTCATCTGAACAATATGAGTCAGCATGTTCAGAGTGGTTGGGAAAAACAGCCCTATACAAACATTACCCCCCCCCAAAAAAGGGAGGGAGGGTGAATTTGAAAGTATGAGCAGGGAGAGAATTCTGCCCCTATCCATGTACCAGTCCTTGTCTCCAAAGCTAATGGGACTGTGTGAACAGGTAGTTGGGACTTCTGAAATATCAGGGTCCCCGATGGCACGGAGAGGCGCCAAGTGTGCCAGGGACTTCCTTTCCAGACTCTGTTCCTCCCTGTGGACACAGTGACAGGCAGAGGGTCAAGTTACAAGGTCCTCCTTGCCCATGCTTTCAAATTGACCCTTTTCCAAAATGACTAAATGGGGCTTCTGTCTGTGCCTTATAGCATGCTTGCCTACCAGGAACAGTTGCAGATTGGATGATGCTCAAGCAAGAACTGGAAGAAAACTATACAGTCTGGATTGTTCCTGGCCTGTGTGCCAGCCAACTAGCCATTTTTTTCTCCTGCCTGGTATTAATTTTCCATGGCCACAGAGCGTGTTCAGTCATAACTGATCTGATTTCTTTTCTCAGTAGTTACTCACTGAAATATCTCTAGCCTGCTTGATATCTGAAGGTGGTGGGATGAGGTGGGAGAGTATTGCAAACTCTAAACCATATAGTTTCATTCCTGAGGACATTTTTATATGATTTTGTAAGGTGCATTTCCCCCCCTCCCTTGGGAATGGTAGATAACCTCTTTTTTTGTAATTGGGCTGTGCAGATTTGGCCACATTTGCACAAGCATAAAACATTTGAATTGATATGAAAGGGGCAATAATGGTGTTAAGTGGTTATGCTTATCCTTCAGCCAATACCACATGCCAGATCAAGTCTCCAGCAAACAAGACGATTTTGAGCATGTGCTAGTGTTGGTAGAGACTGGCAATGCATTCCCTCCAACATTTTTCTGTTATGCACACACACATACACCATTTTAGAAACAGGAAGTGACTACACTTTTATTTGTTTATTGTACATATTTATTTAAGAGCCCTTCTGTACTGCTTTGCATTTTAAAATCTCAAAGTGGGTTACACGAAACAAATAAAATAAAACTAGCAACTAAAACAATAAAATGGCAGAATATAAAATAGCATCATCCTTTAAAACAGTTTATTAAAAAAAACCAAGACAACTTGGTAGCATTCATAGTTAGAGAAATAATAGGGAAAATGTTTTTGTGAACAAATAGGTCTTCTATATATTACCATAGGCCAAGAGGCAGATAGTCCTCCTTTCTAAGGGGATGAATTTTGTCATTTTGGTTTTCCCGTGGAGGGGACTCCAGAGATGTTGAAGGGGCTGCGTACATGGACCAGAATGTCTCCACCCCAATTTATATTTATGGGATGGAAGAATGGGTGGGTGGATAGCTTGCCTGCCAGCCAAATAATGGCACTCACAGGGAGCTAAGCACAAACACCATGCAGTCCTCATGCTGAGAATAATCTGAATGTCATCCACCCCATTCTGCTATATCAAATGGCCTGTTGCTTTCATTAGCGCTGGTGTCACCTGAGCCCTTGTGTATGCTGTACACAGTGGGAGGAAATTCTATGCCCAGTGCTTTGTCCATTAGTCAGTTCCAGATGGCATTGAGAAAAATGGATTAAGGGCATTTTGTATTTCTTAACTATCTTTCCCCAGGGCAGATTATCTCTTAATAAAAAAGCTTCCCATTTTCACTTTTAAAATGAAATCTGATGTGCTGTTTTTCATCTTCCCACTTCCCAAGAGATTGCTTAAATTCGAATGGCAAGAACATGTTCCTCTTAGCAAAACATCTGGATCACACTTCTAATAATCAAATCTAATTGTCTGTAGGTGGTATTTTGACAAAATTAGGGGAATGGGATGAGTTTCCCTAGGAAGGGTTCAGTCCACAACCCATTTGATTTGCTGCAAACCGATTGACTGTAATCAGATTATTTTGGTGTTGGGGATTGCAACATTTGAGATATTTTATCTAGTTTGAGGTCAGCAATTTTGGGGGGCTCACATTATCACCCCTAGCACTTACTGTGCACTGTGTTAGGAAGAAGAAAGCCAAACAGTGGAGGTGGGGTGGGAATCTCCTGTGGTTGGGGGGGGGGGAGGCCACAAAAACGTTTATGGAGCTGCACTTCCAGCCCAGAATTATCACCCACCTTCCTTATTTAAGGGACGTGGTGGCACTGTGGGCTAAACTGCAGAAGCCTTTGTGTGCTGCAGGGTCAGAAGACCAGCAGTCGTAGGATCAAATCCATGCGACGGAGTGAGCTCCCATCGCTTTGTCCCAGCTCCTTGCCAACCAAGCAGTTCGAAAGCATGTAAATGCAAGTAGATAAATAGGTACCACCTCGGTGGGAAGGTAAACAGCGTTCCGTGTATAGCTGCACTGGCCACTTGACAACGGAAACTGTCTTGGACAAATGCTGGGTCTACAGCTTGGAAATGGGGGTGAGCACCACCCCCTAGAGTCGAACACGACTGACTAAAATGTCAAGGGGAACCTTTACCTTTACCTTCATTATTTAAATGCACAAGGAGAGATTCGGTGCATTGTTTGCATGTTTGAACCTGGTTGGATAGCTCACTGGTTTAGGGTTCTGGCTGCAGAGTCAAAGGCTGGGATGGGGGCTGGACTCAGTGATCCACAGGGCCCCTTCCAACTATGCAGTGCTAAATTTATAAGAACTAAGGAAGTCAGATTGTCTACATTAATGTGGGATTGGGACATAATTTCTCATCCTGAGCTTCTCCTGGTTAGTGATTTTTATTTTTACATTGTGATTACTTCTCTATTCTTTTTCTGAATGCCCGGGTCTCAACAGATCTTAAAACTGTATCTTAGACTGCCTCTTTCTTTTGTCCATTCACAAATTCTGTAACAGACAAAACGGAGGAATTACTGGGGGGGGGGGAGTGAGTGAGTGGATGGATGGATGTGTTTCTTTAGCCTGCAGCACAGTATTAGTAAGAAGAACAATTAGAAGGAAAAGGGAGGCAATGCTTCGGATCATTTGCAGTCCAAAGTCGGAAAGAAAAGTTTTTACGGTCTCCCTGAAAGGACTGATTAAACCAGTGTGACATGGTTGCTATGGGAAGGAATACCACAGTGGTGTGGGCATCATTAAAGAGGCGATACTAACAGTACTGTGGAGTTCCACCTATTTATGGTGATAATATCCACAGGAAGTCCTCATTGCTAAGTTTCCCAAAGCAAAGAGGTATAGAGCTGGATGACATGTAGAAAATATCACTAGTATGGTGTGTCTGTGCTGTGTCTTTAGGATTGGATGGATATTGTGCTTGGAACATAGAGGTAGTTAGGTCAGTTTAGCTGATCCAGGGGTGACCATTGCTGCCCTATCTCCTATTGCCCAGTTCGTTCAGTTTGACCCTGAAAAAAAATTAGGAAGCCTCCAGGGTGATGGCTAGCTATAGGCCCACCACCTCCTCACTGGATCCTTGCCCCAGGTGGCTGACCCACGCCCACCGCCTCCTCACTGGATCCTTGCCCCACGTGGCTGCCCCCAAAAAAGGGGGCTATGATTGATTGGGTTGTGAACCTTATTAATTCATCACTGAGGGAAGGAATGTTTCCCTCCTGCTTAAAAGAAACGATCATCCGAACTATCATCAGATGCCCCCAGTTATCATCAGACAATCTTAACAATTTCCGTCCAATTGCTAACATAGAAATTCCTGGGCAAGGTGATCGAGAAGGTGGTGGCTCATCAGCTACAGTCATACCTGGAGGAGCAGGATTTCCTTGACCTATTCCAGCCTGAATTCAGGTCACAATGGGGTACTGAGTAGACACTGGTCACACTGCAGGATGACCTTTTAATGAAGGTTGACAGGGGCAGAGGCACCCTGTTGGTACTCCTAGATCTCTCAGCAACTTTTGATACTGTTGACCATGGTATCCTCCTGGACAGGCTCTCTGAGGTTGGGATTGGGGGCTTAGCATTGAGCTGGCTCTGATCCTTCCTCGAGGATGTCCAGAGAGTTCAGCTAGGGGAGGAAGTGTCGGCACCTTGGACCCTTTGATGTGGGGTTCCTCAGGGATTTGTGACCCTTTGGTGTGGGGTTCCTCAGGGATCTGCATTATCCCCAGTGGCTGTTCAACAACTATTTTAAGCCGTTGGGGAGGTCATCAGGACATTTGGAGTACTCTTTCACAGATCTCTCTCCATTACCTCCTCTGCAGTGGATGCCGTCCAGATACTTGAGTGTTGTGTGGTTTCATTACTGGGCAGTGGATGCCGTCCAGATACTTGAGTGTTCTTTGGTTTCATTACTGGACTGGAACAGGGCTAACAGACTCAAACTGAATCTGAACAAAACAGAGATTTTGCTCCTGGGAGAATCTCTAATAGGCTAACGGAGATGGTCTCTAAACTGGATGGTATTTCCCTCCAGTTTAGAGACCATCTCTGTCAATATCAAGTGCATAACTTGGACATTCTTTTGGACCTGGCTGTTTCTTGGGAGTCCCAGATTGCAGCCGTGTCCAGATCAGCCTTTAACCAGCTTAAGCAAATTGGCCAGCATTGCCCCCTACGTAGACGAGGACTCCCTGGTAATCTCCTGGATCAACTACTGCAATGCCCTCTATATGGGGCTTCCCTTGAACCTGATCCAGAGACTTCAGTGGGTCCAGAATGTGGCAGCCGGACTGGTGGTTAGTGCAAGTAAATTTGACCACCAGTTCTGGCTCACCTCCACTGGTTGCCCTTGGTGTCCCGGATCAGGTTCAAGGTTTTGACACATACAAAGCCCTCCATGGTTTAGGCCCATGTTACTTGTCAGAGTGTCTCTTCTTAATGTCATTTGCCTGACCCACAAGTTCATCCCAGTTGAGGCTCCTCCAGGGCTCCCAAGAGAGGCCCACAAATCCTCTACAAGAGGCAGGGCCTTCTTTGTGGTGGCTCCAACTTTATGGAACCAGCTTCTGGAGGAGCTCCACCTAGCCCCTTCCTTGTGGACTTTTAAGAAGCAATTAAAGACATTGCTTTTCAGGGAGGCTTTCCACACCACCAGCTGACCACCTTCCTCCTTTTTCCCCCCTCTCCCCTCATCCTCTCCCCTCCCCTCTTTTCCTCCATCCACTCTGAGATTAGTTGGCACCATCTTTTTGGGGGGGGGGGTAGGCTTATTGTTATCAGTTTTAATATTTCTGTTTTCTTTTATGTTTTCTATTTTATGAGTTCTAGCTCACCCAGAGTTGTGCTGTGACACTAATGGGAGCAGGATACAAAATGAATGAATGAATGAATGAATGAATGAATGAATGAATGAATGAATGAATGATAGAAGCTATGAATGATTATTAAGGGCAGTGCTACACACAAATAGGTCGCAGTATTCAGTCAAGTGGTTGCCTTGAAGTGTATAAAAAAGGGGAAATCCTTGTTTCCAGGAAGGGGCACAACTGGAATCCTGAATGAAGTTGCTGTCCATGACCACAGGCTTCCCCTCAGAGTCCAGGAGAGCCCCTGGACTGTACACCTTTCCTTTAGGAGGGAATGTGCTCATAAATCCATTGTCTTGTTTCCCAAAAGACAGCCTTGCTTACCCTTGTCCTGTTCAAACTGAGTTTTTGTTGAGTACTTCTCCTTTTGCTTGCTGTTTCTTCTCTCCTGCAAAGCATTCCCTCCCAGTGCCACTTGGCAATGGAGAAACAGCAACTGAACTTCTGGAAAACACATTAAGTATGCTTTGCTATTCCCACTACCTTGGTAAGAACATAACATTTCCCATATGCCAAAAAGCAGGTGTTAGAGACACTTACACATTCAACAAAAGCACACTTCTGTTCAGGAGGTGGAAAATGATTGCTTGAAGAAGCCTATTTCAGATCAGTTTAATCTCCACTGGAAATTGTCCAGCATGGCTGTCAGTATCTATTAGAGTGAGACTCTAACCATGCTAGTGTCCCAGACATTACTTAGTTCTGATGTTGCAAATACAGGTATTTACAAACATTACAAGAGAGAAACCCACTTCATGTGCAGGTTAGATTGTTTTTTAAAAAATTGCATAGAACCTAGAAGATTGTCAAGATGCCTTATAAAATTGCCAATTGAACACTTTTGAGGAAAATACATTTTTAAATATTTAGATAATAAGTAATATTAAATATATACCATTGAAAAAAGACTTTTGAATGTACCTAGGACGCATTATACCAGAAAAGTAGCTTTGTAATTGCTAGTTAAATAGCTTTCTAAATTAACTTACTTTCATCCTTGTTACCTAATAAATAACTAGTAACAAGCACACTTCTTTCTTACTTGCACATTTTTGTACCCTTTTGGTTTGCCTACTAAAAGTTATTATTTGAGAATGTGTCCTGGAATTTGATCATGAGAACACATTTGTTCTTTCTTTACTTGAAACTTGTTACTGCCATGCTCTGGAGAGAGTTGTGTGTAGTCTAATATGGGCCACCTGCCACTGTGTCATTCCAGTCAATATACTTGCTTAGCTTAGCTGAAAATATTAGAAAGCCTTTATGAGCATTTCTCCCTGTGACTATTGCATTTTTCTCTCCTCTTTCCTTCCACTGTGTTTTGCAGATTGCCAAAGATGTGAAACAGTTCTATGACCAAGCAGTGTTTGAAGCAAAGTTGACTGATGAGAACAAATCCAAGGCAGCACAAGCAGTAGTGAAAAGCTTTCATGAAACAGTAAGCTATATTACATACACTCTAGGGACTCAAACAGGTTTGTTGCTAACTTTGTTGTTCTGTCTTGCAAAGAGGGGCCTGAAATGCCCAAAGTGTATGTGCAGCTGTATTTGCTGTGCAACAAATCTACACTGAATTTAAGAGGCGCTTTCCTTAGTGCTAATCATGCACGAGCGGTTTCTCCAAGACAAATCACTATTAGGGAGACACGTTGAAACCAACACTCAAAGGTGCATCCATGCTACATATTTCATATGGAATTACTAGTTGAATTTGCTTTCTTTTTAACAAGGCATCCACACAATGCTGTCTTTCAGTCATTGTTAACTGGTGTTTTCAATGTGGTTTTTCCACATTCTTGAGGACTGTAGAACTCTAAAAAATTTTTTTCAGAAGAATGATAACACAGTCCCGAGACAGGAGGTTGCAGTCTACATTCTGCAGTCATAGGGATCTTTAGTGGTATTCTTCCATCTCCTTCCTCCCCTGGAGCCAGGTAGGGTTTTGCTATGGGCAGTGATGGATCACAAAAAATATAGGTAAAAGGAAATGAGAAATAAAAAGTTAAGAAAAGACCAAAGTGTGGTGGCAGCTTAAGTACTATTATATATTTTTAATATGAGGTTTTTTGGTTGGACAAGTCCATTTCATCAAACACTCCTGGTCAAGGTTTGCTATCATCAAAATATTTTTTCCAGTAGAGAAATGGGGCTTGTAGAATATGAATGATAGAAAATGAGACCCCCTATAACAAATCCATTGTTACTTTTCTTTAGACTGCAGTAGTGACATAGGTCATGTATTTATAATGAGGCAAGCACCTGTGGCCTTCCAGATTTTCTCAGTCTGTAAATCCCATAATCCCTCAGCATGCCCTGTGCCGATGAAGGCTGATGAGAGATATAGGCTGTAAACATCTGGAAGCTATAAATTACCCACCTAGGTTTATTTCAAAGGGTGTTGGGGGAAGAAAACCTACTTCTACTGTTTCATATATAATGTACACCTTAACTGAGATGCTCACTCTTGCAAACCTTCAAACATAAAGTCCCTTTTCACTTTATAATTACCACTTCCTAGCCAGTCTTCAGTGTCTTTGGCTCTTCTCCCTCTGTGAAGTCATTTGTCTGAATGTCCAACCCACCTTCCCTTTTTCTTTGTACAAGATTGCATGTCTTGACTCCAGATGGTAGATAAGAGGAAGGAGAGCAGATATCAGAATTTATGTCTAAGAGGTCTTAGTTAGCTCAGTGAAAAAAACCAGGTCAAAACCTTTGAAGAAATAACATCCGTATTCAATTTCTTTCCCTTTTCTCATAGCTCAAGTGCTGTGGCACGGGGTCATTCTTAACAGATCTATACATCAAGGCGACTGCTGAGGATTTCTGCAGTAAAGGACTCCTTACTTCAGTTTGGACAAATGTAAGGAAACAACCATGTGGGATATCAGGTTTGGTCAGGGCATGAGCCTTTCTAGTTCAGCTGGAGTTCAAGTGACTGGTATGTTGAGAGAGAATGGTTGCCCATTTTTTTATTTTGCAGCATTACTTGTTGGTGAGCTGGAAGATATGATGATGTGCCTTTCACCTCACAAAAACTTTCATCTCTCCTCTGGCCAAAATAGCTGTTCTGTCTGTTCGAATACAGATAGGCTTTATAAGCCCATCTCTGCAAGCTCTGAAATATACATCTTCCCTCTGCTTTTATCAGACATGTAGGAGAGGACAGGAAGTTGTTCATTAAAGACACTGCCAAAAACAACTGCTGTCAAAAGGTGGAGAAATCTGTCTAAATCCAATTGTTAGTCTCCAGCTAAGGTAGACCTGTTGAAAGAATGAGGGTGATGAAGTTACCACTGATGTCATGGGCCCATGAAATAATACCCACTGGTTCCATGGGTCTAACTCTAATTAGGATTAACAGCTGAATACATTCAATTTGAAGATACATTAAAATTATGTTTTGGTGATGTATTTATTTAACATACTTTTAGACCACCCAGATTTTCTAGGTAGCCGATTAAGGAGATTGCAACACATAAGATATAAAATTACATTAGAACAGTGATACAAGAGCACGAGTTAAATTAACAAAGTAAAATCAGAAGCAGAGCAGCAGACAGTGAAGCTAAAGTGAGCGATAGGCAGGTATGTAAAAGGCATACTTATAATGCCTGGAAAGATAAAATAAGGAGATAGATAAGTGTGTAGGTAGGCAGATATTTCTTTAAACTTTTTTGCATGGGAAGAGGGCACCAGGTGTAGGAATTTGGAGCTTAGGACACAGAGCCTGTCTGGCATCCACTTATGCCCTCAGCTTTCCTCATGATTGTGAATTCCTATATAGGATGTTTACCTGATGCATGCTTTCTTTTTGGCTCAGGAATACAACTGTCATATTAAAATTGATGAGCTGTTCTCTGTAAAGCTGTACCTGATCGGCATCGCTGCCATTGTGGTGGCCGTTATCATGGTAAGTGCTGGGTAGGTGGAAGGAAACAAAGGATCCCACATCTCTCTGTTATGGAACAAAGAAATATGGGTTATTCAAAAGAGATGGATTTGCTACCAAGAGATAGCTTAGAACAATGGGTGGTTTGAGAAGACTGGAAACAATGCCATTCTAGATGTATTGTTGAACCTGCACATGAAACAAGGCCTTACGTGTGAAGGGAGACTGGCAAGAGGAATGAGAGGAGAGAGATTGGCAAGTGTCCAAAGGGCAATGGTCAAGTTCAAGCCTCCACCTCTTTGAATAATGCTTGGGGCAGCAAAATACAGCCAATCAAATCTAGAGAAGCAACCCTCTTATTCCTATGGCCATAAAAGTACTTCCTTGCTCTCCTAAAGGTATGTTTGCATCCTGAGAAAATTAATGTGCCCATCTTCTGATCTCTGGGGATTTTCCACCTACAGCTTCTTGCTCTTCCTTGTTCTCTTTTTCTAGTGTAAGAATCTGTTGCAACATCTTTTTGTAAATCTGTTTTCTGCTCCCCTTATCCATCTTGTGTATCCAGAAAGCAAGGAAGGAACCACTTAAGCATTCCCTGCCTAGATCAAAGGTGGGCACCTGTGGCTCTCCATATGTTTTTGGCCTATAGCTCTCATTCTGTTGGTTAGAACTAACTAATGGTGAGGAAATGCAGGCGTTTCAGTCCAAAAACATCTGGCCATATTTTCCCACCTATGATTTAAACCCTCCTGCTGGGGACAGAGAAGGTTTTTGATGGAAAAATGGAATCTAGGTTGAGTTAAATATATAAAGCATTCCCTCCTTCTCTGCCCTCCCATAGAAGAGGAAGGATTGTTTTAAACATTCAGGTCTTGTTTTATGGTGGCCAGGTCATTTAAGGCTGATTGGGTTTTATCCATTTGAAAGAAAGGTTGATAGCTTTTCATTTTCAGTTGTATTCATTTCCTTGATAAGACACTTGGAATATATTGGCTGGCCTTACCATCATTCCATGCAATTAAAATTAGAATTGTTGGGGGAGGTACTCTGGAGTAGAATTTCATCTTAATTTTTTAATATTTGGTTTCTTTTTAATTTTTTTTAAAAAATCATTCTGGAGAGAAAGCCAAACAGCCTTTAATTCTAACCCACCTCTGATTTCTTCAGTCAGACCAATAGGCCTCTCAGATTCTTGTCACCTAAAGTGGAGTTAATAAATGTGTAGCCAATATGAGCGGATACTTTTCTTAAGGTAAGAGATGGAATAGCTGAAGTGAGCTGGAGTCTTACGGTTCCTGTGTTCTGTTTTGACCTCTAGATCTTTGAAATGATCCTGAGCATGGTGTTGTGCTGTGGCATCAGAAACAGCACTGTCTATTGAGAAGCAGAAGGGCAGGGGCCAAACAATGGTGCCGAAGGGACCCCAAAGTGCCGCTGTCAGATCAGGAGACACTTTCAAAAAAAGACACAGAAAATTATGTATATAAATATTTCAACTATTACCATACAGTACTTATCATTTTTACTTGGAAGTATTTTTATTTGTTTTAAGGGGTGGGGAAAGGGAGTTATTTTGTATATTTGTGGCGGAGTTAATTACACATCACTTCGTATAGTAGAAAAGCTATCGTACCAGTGGTTCTAAACCCTTTATCAAAGATAGCCTTTCTCTCCTCCTCTTCCTTTCTGTCCCCTTGTGTTGCAATGTTGACAGCACGGGACAAAGGAGAGGTTCCCATCCACAGGGGCCACCCTTTAATGAGGAACATGGACACTTTTCTGCATCTTTGTTCCCCAACAACGATGGGGAGGAGAAGGCTGAAGTAGTTCTTTGGCAGTTGTGCTCACTATTTCCTGTTCGTACATTCTGTCTTGATTTGTAAATGATCTTGGATTCTTGGTCTAAATCTGTGCGTGTGTAAGGATACAAGAGTTCTCCTTTGGTGTAATTCAGCTACTGCTTTCAATTCTGCTGTTAAAACTTGCAAATCTGGCAGTATTTTCCGTACAGTGTACATACATACCCAGTGCGCCTTTCAGTGGCAAGGAGACCTTGCTCACAAATGCTTATAAGCCCATGAACTTGAAAGTCCATGATGTCTCCTGCTGTCACAACATAGATGCTGAGTCAAGGCCAGGTCTTTCAAATTCAAGACAGCCTTGCAAGAAATTAATGTACAACAGGGAGAGCATTTAAACTAAGTTCATTAATTTTAAACCAATAGATTTTATTTTATTTTTTAGACTGAAGAAGTCAGATAATGGAATGTTGATGTTTATTTTTATATCTCACTGCTAAAACTGAACTCTCCGTGTGCTGACATCCACAGTCCTGGATGCAAACACTGTTTGATGCCACTCACCAAGTAAAATGTGTAATCATCCAATGATGACAAAAGTTGTCTCTTGAAAGGAAATCAGTGAAGTAACGGCTGGAAGTTTGTAAATGAAAGGTACAGTGTTGAAGAAGGCACCTATCATTGTGCCTTTCTAAAACCTGGAGTGAGGATGCTGAATAATAGCCAACAAGACGTATATAAAGGTAGAACCATACGAATTGTATTTTATACCAGATGTATAGTGAGAGGGCTCTGTTCTGATTCGGTAAAGCCATTTCCCAATACCCCCATCCTTTTCCTATCCTACCAGAGATGAAAAAGCATGGCTGCTTCTGCCTGTCTTGACAGTTCAAGGGATTTGCTTTCCCTCACATTTTTGATCCACCCCTCCCTTGCCAAAAACATATTCTTTGAAATTTGCAGCTTGGATATGGTCTGTTTGGGGCAAGAGGCCTTGATTCTTACCCAATTTCCACTACCCTCTTCCATACTATAGAATTTTCTTGTTTGAGTTTTTTCAATTATTGAGTACAGTATTGAATACCACAGAACTCCTCTCCTGTCATCCCCACCAGTTAAAATTCGCTTCTGTTCTTCGCATGTATGAATTCATGCAGAAGTACATTTGATTCACCCTTTTTCCTCTCCTTGACATTCTCCCTGTGTTTTCTGTGATGGAAAAGAGCAAGCAATACCTATTCTATATAAACACACACACATACCCTTCCACTTTCGGTTTTGGCTTGCAGGAATTCCACTACATGGAAGCTCTTTCCCCAGACAAACTCTTCTCCATGGTCTCCTATGAAGCTTGTTGGATGCGATTGGTGGAAATAGGGATTGATCTTTCCTAGCCTTAGAAATAGCCTTAAAGCAACACTGCCCTGAATGTCAAGCTTTGCATGCACTGGACACAGAGAAACTGAATCTATCAGTCTACCCACCTGTGACAAACCCAGACCTACTGGGATCTATCACACAGTTACTAAGCTGCCACCAACCATTCCCTATAATAAGTCACACAGACCAGGGATGGATTTTTAAACAACAAAAGAATAAGGTTTATTTTAAATACAAACAGGGTAAATAAAACAATCAGGTGAATAAAATAAAGTAACGTGGCTTATTCTCCCACACACAAGCATACGGTTTGGTTCACCTAGAACTTTTCTTGTTTGAGTTTTTTCAATTATTGAGTACAGTATTGAATACCACAGAACTCCTCTCCTGTCATCCCCACCAGTTAAAATTCGCTTCTGTTCTTCGCATGTATGAATTCATGCAGAAGTACATTTGATTCACCCTTTTTCCTCTCCTTGACATTCTCCCTGTGTTTTCTGTGATGGAAAAGAGCAAGCAATACCTATTCTATATAAACACACACACATACCCTTCCACTTTCGGTTTTGGCTTGCAGGAATTCCACTACATGGAAGCTCTTTCCCCAGACAAACTCTTCTCCATGGTCTCCTATGAATCTTGTTGGATGCGGTTGGTGGAAATAGGGATTGATCTTTCCTAGCCTTAGAAATAGCCTTAAAGCAACACTGCCCTGAATGTCAAGCTTTGCATGCACTGGACACAGAGAAACTGAATCTATCAGTCTACCCACCCTTCAAAGGATTTGGGATTCACATGTTCCAGTATAATAGAATTATCTGTACAATTTTTAGATATGAACTGTGCATGTACAATTACATATATCTGCACGCATTGGGGTTACAGGCGTGCAAAATGGATGTGTATAACTCACTGCCTTTTGTTTAGTGTCCTTGAACAAGTATAAATGCGTCACAGAGCATTTTGTGTTTCTTTTCCTGTAGCATATGTTTGATACTGTTCAGCATTCAGTGGATGATGTGTAAACAGCCAGAGCTCTGTTTTTAAAGCTTTACTAGCCTACTCTCCAATAACTGAATATGGCCCAGTCACTTTGTTAGGAGCAAGTATATGCTTTAACCAGAGAACACTATTACCATACAATGCAGAGTATAAATGATGGTTAGAGGAGGCTCAGATGGCACTGAAACATAGCAGAAGCCCAAGAGAAACTGCTAGGTTTTCTTGAATTTGCCTTGTGGGCAAGGCAAAGGTTGCTCAGTACGTACCCTGTTGTTTTTATTTTATTGTTCAATTGTAGCACAGGGTCTAAAATATGTGGTTTTAAATGAAAAGGGAAGATAATAATTAGGGTTAAGTACCCATCTTGAACCTGAGCCCAGGGAGCAACTAGGCAGCAATTTTTAGCAAAAAGCTAGTGGTGGAAGGCTTTAGCTTATGTGTGCCACTTGGGACTACAGTACTCTTTTACTTCAAATCACAGTATCTCAAGACTGCTTTTTTTCTTTTTACTTTTAATTAAACATCCTTACATTTGCATATGTGGAGTCTGTGCCCTTAAGGAGTCAGCAGTGAGAGTTGAAAAATTACAGTGTTATAAAAGCAAAATTAAGAAGTACTCCTATACAAGTGACCTCTTAGCTGTGAATTCTGCCTCCCTATACAAGATGACCAAGTAAGAAATTGAGCCTTGACAGCCAGGAAAATTCAAGGATGGGATTTTCTTTGAGATGTTTAGAAGAAAAGGCCTCCAGAACAAGTGATGAGAACAGATTGTAAATTTTGGCCTTTTGGTGAAGAATTAAAAACAAATCCCAAAACTAAATCCTGCAATTACAAAACAAGATGTTGGTGGGTGGGTCTAGCAACAGGCTTCTTACCAATATATTCACATTTTTGTGTGTGGTGAGATATCTCCATGGCAGTAAATACATATGCTTGCTATCTAACGTGGTACAATCAGTGAGCTATTCATATAAACTTGGCCTAAAGCCTCTTTCAGTGCCAGTGATAACAAGACCTGTTTATTAGTAGTTTATTTTTTATTTATATGCCACATTTCTCCCAAGAAGGGACCCAATTCTCAATGTTCTGTTGCCTGTCTGCCATTTCTGAGGAACTAGCAAGAAAAGGAGGCATAGGTAGCTTCAGGTTGGTGAGTTGGCAGAGTAAGGTTACCCAGTGTGTTAACACTTGCCACAAAATCATCTTTTTTAAAGTACCTTAGTAAGGATGGTTGCCATAGAGAATCTCTGTGCCATTATGGTTCTACTGTTGAAAATATAAGGGTTTGAGTTAAGGGAGATCCATTCCTGAGGTGAAGAAGGGAGGTAATATAAGACCAACAAATTCTTCTTTCCAAAGCAACAAAACATAACCATTTTATACTTAACAACCAAGGTTATATAAGAATCTATTTAAACTACACAAAATTTGTGACTGGTTCTAGGAAATTGTATTACTAGTTTCAGTTTTCTGAAAAGCACCATTTGGGATTGGGAATATTGTTGTTGTTTTAGTTGCTGTTTCTTAGGCAACGTTAGGACAAATAATTCTCATTAAGCCACAGGAGAAGCATAGCTCTCCCTTCCTCCAGCTTTGGACCTGTAGAAATTAAACAGGATTAATTATGACGAGCCAACAGAGGAAGGCCAAACAGAGCTGCTTGCTGCATTGTCCTGAATGTTTGGATTTCTTTCATATTGTGGAGCATGCCACAAACTATACAGTACTTGTGTGTTAACTATCTCTTTTCTGCCTTTTTAATTTTTTTTTTTATTTTTTTGGTCACTTAAAAATTTCTAATACACACTTTTCTTCCTAGCATGTATTGTGTGACAAACCTCTGTGTTTCTCACAGCCAATAAATCATAACACCTGAATGCTTTTGGCATCATCATATCTTTACTATAGCACTGGGAAAGCCAGCCTTGGGAATAAAGAACCAGTGGAGTGTGTGGCAAAGAGGATAAGGGGGCAAGTGAATAGATAAGACTAAAGTGATCATTGCCCTCAGTGATGTGAATGAGGCAGGAGAGATTAAATGTTGGAGGTTGGGTACTCACATGTCTCCCATATACAGGTGGCAGCAGACCTGCCTCCAAGAGAATGAACGCACATAAAGAGCCATGATCTATCAATTCAATCTTTATTGTACAGTCGCAGACCCGATAGCCATGATCTATCGTGTCTCACCTCTTGCCAATTATAACGAGAAGTCTAAATTTCAAAGTTTCTCTCACCGAGTGGCCTCTTGAAGGGGAAGCAAGGGAGAGATTGGGAAGAGCAATGCACCACTCTTCTTATCCCCTGGCTGTGCTGATGTCCAGAAATCTTGTCCATTTGCTGTTATCTTGCTTGTTTATCTGAATGTTAAATTTTTCTGTCAAAATAATCTTTTTTTTTTTAAATGATATATGAAAACAATTAAATAGCCCCCAAAAAAATCCGGTGGTGTCCTGTCAGATTTATTCCTTCCCTTAACACCGCAAGGGTGCCAACTGTGGATCAGAGACAGCTTGGTGAATTCTGCTTCCTCATGACTTCCTTTTGAATTTCTGCCCAGTTAAAATGAATAATCGGCTACTTCCCGTGCCCAAAAATATGTCTGGTTGAAGGGAGGCTGCAGTTCATTCTGGTACTGTGCAGGATGCCTCTTGTGTCAGTAAAGGGAAGGCATTCTGTTAAAATGTTTTTCTCAAGCAAGCCATGAGCAGCCCATAAAGTGAGTAGGAACTGAAGTTCCAGAAAAGTGGGAATTGTTCCTAGGATCTCCTGCAGGAGTGGGAAACAAGTGGCCTTCCTGATGTTACCCAGACGGCAGCTCCCACAAGCCCTAGCTAATAGGGACTGTGAGATTTACAGTCCTGCTAATCATCAGATTCCAGGCACTCTGCCTCCAGAGCCTTCAAGGCTGCTGCTTTGCCAGGGAGCTGTGTGTGTGTGCGTGTGTCTTTCTTGACCTTTCAGAGTGGGATATTGGAAGTAAGTATGTATGTGGGTATGTATGTATGTATGTACAAGAAACAGGTCCTTTGCTGGGAGAAAGAGGCCTCTACTTTCTGAGAAGGGATGACTACCCCATTATGCCGTAGGTGAACAAACTGTAAATACTGAAGGCAGCAGGTTAGTGCCAAAGTGCCCACGGACTTGCAGCAGGCTATTTCCCTAAACAATTACAGAACAATAGAAGAACAGCAGAAATGTGGGTGGGGTGGCAACAAGCAGAAACCTAGGAAACCCTACACTGGCCTGACATTTTGGAAATCCTTACCGTGGGCATACAGTATATAAACTATGAATTCTCTTCTACCAGTATTCAAACATAGGCAGGGGTGGACTTATTCCTATGTGCAGGAGAAGAGGGGCATTTGTCGATTCCTGCCCTAATCTGCTTTCCAGCTGTCCTGTAGCACATTATTCTTCACTTCATGCTGACTATATGTGTAATCTTCTACAACTAGGAAGGTAAGCTAGTGTTTTCATATCTCTCAAGCAGCAAAAGGATACCATGTTCTCCACAATAGAAAATTCAACCAGAAGTTCTAGAGACATTATTTTTCTTACTGTGCCAACCCAGCAACTTAGTGGAAGGAACATTTCTCCTTTAACTCATGCCTTACCCTGTACAACATTTAACATAGTGGCTAAACTAATCCACACTGGGCAGGAGACCTTTGGGGTCAATGCCTCTGGATTTCCTGGTTTGCTTGCCTCACTTCAGACAAGATGGTGATTAAAGAAAATGGTTGCACCCTCTGTTCTTTGCTGGTCTTCCCCAACTCATACTTACGTTTGGGGCAAAAAGAAGTATATAAAAAAACACTGCCAATTCTGTGAACCAAAGTTACTGTAATTATATGGTGCATGTTAAGTTTTTACTGTAACTACAGGGTACATGTCATGTAGCATCTAGCTGGTTCCTTTTTTTCTCTTAACGAAACCCAGCGAACTGTATCAGGCTCACTGCCTGTCGATGGGTGATAGTTTAAAGGCCCCCAAATTTAAAAACTGTTTTCAGACTTATTGACTCCAAGTATTTTTTTTAACTTTTGGCCCCCATCAGTGGGCGGAGGCTTATTTGTTGTTTCAAAACACACAAACCCCCCACGGATTCAGTGGACTTACAGTACTGTAGTTGCAACTCACTCCACTAAGCAACAAGATTCCAGTATTTCCAAGTGTGAAACAGCAGATTTTGTTTAAAAGGGGAACAGAAACCTACCATTGCTTCTATCATGTCTGTAGAGTCTGAAAATATCCTCCTTCCCCATTTCTTACTCCAGTTTTATTCTTAAATAGCATAGACCAAAAAAGAGGGGGGGGGATTATTACTCTGGACTAGTGGTCAAAATAGGAAAATTAGCCTCCTTAGTCACTATCCAATTTAGATTTGCGCAAAACTGAATCTTAACACCAGTATCCATTGCTTGTGGGAGGAGCATTACACATTGCCCACACTTCTCTGCACAATCTCTGTTTCAGAGATGGAAATGACAAAACGCTCATTTGCATGTAAAGATAGTTGTTAGGGGGGGGGGCAAGGACACCTCCGTCACTATTGGCAGGCTGCTACTCCCTAAGAAGTTTTCCCCAGCTCCAGCTCCTCTATGGAAAAACTCAGTTGGGAAGCTTATGAAGCAGAAGTGACAAAACTCCCCAAAAGACCCAAAAGCAGATTGGGAGACCGTGGAATACAAAGACCCTTGGACCAGGGAGCTCATCCAGCTTAGAATTTCCAAGGCAGAATAACTGTGGAATGCCAAGCCTCCAAAGAAACCCTCCTTTGGGGAAGAGTGAGGGCAGCAGGAATGATGCCAAGGAATAGAGTCTGTAAGGAGAGTATGACCCTTCCCGATCTCCCGTCACCTTGGTCCATCCACTAGAGGGGAACCCCACAAACTCTACAGCTGAGGGTGAATAAAGGGATGAGAGGGGAAATTATATCAAGGGTCAAGTAAATTTAGCTATAAGCACACCCCCGCCTTTAGCTTAACTTCAAGGGTTGTTCCAGGTCGCAGATGACTCTGAAGTAGATATCAGAGAGATTAGGGCTGAGTTAAATGCAATCTGGGCTGACTGTTGATCTCAGTTACACCTGTCCACATTAATAAACTCACCTGTTTTTGAACATACTACACATCCTGTCAGGGATTCTAATATGGAAGAAGGGAACATGGAACTGCTTGGGACAATTACAGTGGCAGACACCTTATTATGCCAGGTCCACGAGTGTTGTGTGAACAGGATCCAGCAGAATACAGTGGACCCTCGACTTACGGAATTAATCCGTATTGGAATGGTGGCTGCAGATCGAAAAGTCTGTAGGTCGAGGTTCCATTGATCTACAATGCATTGAAAACCGATTAATCCGTAACCAGCCGTTTATGTTCCATTTTTGTTTTTGTTTTTTTCCAGTCTGTAGGTCAATTCTCCGGCTGCAAGTCGAACCTAAATTTTGCAGCCAGAGAAGTCTGTAACTCAAAAAGTCTGTAATTGGAGCCGTCTGTAAGTCGAGGGTCCACTGTATTGTCCCAAAAATGTTTAAAAGGAGATTTGAGAGGAAATCTTCAGGCTCCCCAGACTTTAGGCTATGCTGCCCACTGATTTGAAATCTGACATTTTCATTATTAAACATATTTTGCAACTTGTCACGTCAGGAGCAAGGCAACTATTCTGGCAAATGGGTATGTTGGAAAGTTCAGATGACAAATGATTGACATTTTAAACATGCAAGATCGTATTTAAGAATCCTTTTAAAAATTGACCTAAACTCTCAAGCCATTACTTGATTGGTTAGGCATCCTTCAGTTTCGAGAGATTATGGTAACATGCTCTGAACAGAGGACTTGGGACAGCATCTAGTGTGGCTGAGAAGGAATTCAGGGTATGTTGGAAAGTTCAGATGACAAATGATTGACATTTTAAACATGCAAGATCGTATTTAAGAATCCTTTTAAAAATTGACCTAAACTCTCAAGCCATTACTTGATTGGTTAGGCATCCTTCAGTTTCGAGAGATTATGGTAACATGCTCTGAACAGAGGACTTGGGACATCATCTAGTGTGGCTGAGAAGGAATTCGAAAACCATTACTTAAATGCAGCTGTTTTAAACTCTGATCATGAGCTACTCCTTTAGTATATGTAATCTTATTTCAAATTGGCAGGGGAGAGGAAGATTGCTTTGTGGAACAAATGTGCTCTCTGCTCCAAACCCTCTTCAGTTATTATGACCTCTCCCTTGTGTTCTTTCTAATTCTTTTGCCATGGCCCCTCTTGTTACCTTTTTCTGCAACTGCACTAGTCTTCTGACACCTCTACAAATCCTGTACCACTGTACAAAGCTTTGATGTAACAAAAACAGGAGTGTTCAATTCATCACACAAATTGCAACAAAGCCTGTTATGGCAAGAGGTTGAAAAGTGCCCTTGGCTGCACCATCTCCTGGCACAGAGGGATCACACTTGTTCTCATTTGATCACACCAGCTGCACTGGAAACGGGCAGGAAGTTCACCACCAATTATGCTGCCTGAACGTTTGATCTGAGCCAGGAAAAAAAAATATTTGGGGGATTTTCCTATGCTGGTACAGAGGCTCTTCACAACACAGCAGAAACACAAGTCTACAGAAAAACAGGAAACCCGCACTCCACAAAATAAAACATTTTGGCTTCCACCTTCTTTAGCATACTGTGGCCTCTGTATATTTAACTGTTACCTTGGGAACTGCACACCTTTATTGAAAGCAACCGAAGAAGACAGAAGCCAAAACGTTTTGTCATAAAATTGTATTTTTCTGCTTTCGTTAGTCTCGCCTTCTTTCTCACTCACTCGCTCTCCACAGAAAACAACCTATACATACACACGTATACTGGAAAATGGGAATAGGGGGTTAAAAAAAAAACAACTCGAATTAAAACCTGCCTACACTTCCCTGGGACTAAATATAGTACCACGCCACCAGATGTCCACAGTGTTAGAAAAGGGAGCAGCTTGCAGAAGCGTAACAGAGCAGCATACACCCGAATAAATTTTATTTATTTATTGCATTTTTATACCTTAATCCTGTTGAAGGGCCTCAAGGAGGCTGACAATATTTTTTTTTAAAAAGGAATGAAAACAAAACACTTAAACCCTTAAAATGCTATTAAACATGGAAACGCCCCCCCCCAAACAGGGATAGAGGGGCACAGATGCTTTTGTCTGCAGACTGGACCTCCGGTCCGGTTTTGAAGCTGCATCCCGCGTGCCCCCCTCCCTCCCTCCCATGAGGAGGAAAGGGACCGATACCGCTAGAATGAGCTATGCGATATTCAGAACGTTGCTATCGAGGCCATAACTTATCAGAAAATCTCATGCCTCCTCTCAAATAATGTCACTTGTGCTTCTCCTCGCCCAAAAAACATGGGCCATCCAGAGCGCGTGAAGGAAGAAACAATCATCCTAATATCCGTGCGACCCCCATTTTTACAGTATAGATGGGGAAACTCAGCAAACTGAAGCTGAAAAAGAGAGCCTAACAACCACCTGGCTATCGCACGTTTATCTGCAGGCAGGCAAGTGGCGCCCGAGATTCGAAAAAGTACCCGAAGTCATGTGCATTTGCTTCTTTGTGTTCTTTTCTCGGCTATGACACGCACTTTATGCCGGTGCCCCGCTTTTTACAGCAACTACATTTCCCAGGATACCTCGGGAAAGAAAGAGGGCTGTCCTCCGTGCCGCTTGAAATTGCGAGATGGCTTCTGGGATACGTAGTTCCGACAGCTGGAAACTCGCGTACATTTCTAGGTCGGTGCGAGGGGCAGCAAAAACTTCCCGTCCCAGCAGGCGCCGCGAGAACTGCGCAGGGGCTGCTAGGCCGCGGCAGAAATCGAGGGTAGTCGTCGCGGGGGTAAAAGGGACGCCGTGAGCTCGTGGCTGCCCAGGCGGAGGTAAGGAGGCCGAGTGGAGGCGGCGGCGGCGTTGTTGTTGTTGTTGTGGTTACAACAACGGCGGAAAGAGCTGGCTTCTCCGCTCGTGCTAATGAGCCGCTAATGAGGGAAGAGGGCGGGGGTAGTTTGTGGGGGGGGGAGGACAGGATAGGGCGAGAGGAAGGTGCAGAATCGGCTTGCGAGGGTCAGGCCGCCGCGGGTCCTTGTCGGGCAGGAAGGCAACAGAGGCGTCGCCCTCTCTGGCTTGGGCCTTCGTGCCTGGTTGTGGAAAGACGGGCTCGCCCGGAATTTGGAAACTCTTACGGCTGGCCCCTCTTTCATAGGTTCCCCTCCCCTGTGAATTTGGCTAACCCCCCTCCCCCGATCGCGGCATCTTGTGGCAGGTTAATTAACCATAAGTTAATTCCTCCCGTATTTTTAAGGTACAGGAGGACGGCAGTATCTCCAGCGATCAGTTTTAAGCCTTCACACCCCCCCCCCCACAAAGGCTGAAAAACGGGGGGGGGGCAACCT